TGGCCATAGAATTCTATTACATGTGTGTGACAAGATTTACCGTGAACCTTGCTGGTGTTACAAAGTACCTTCTCTCCAGATGTGCTACCAGCTTTTTCTCACGATCTTCTCTGCCACCTCGTATGGTATACAAGTTAGGGACACCGGCCTGTGGTTTAATGCCTCCTGCCTGTCACTCTTTTTGTATATTGGACTACATTACCCGTCTTCCAACGTTCTGATATAGCTTCTGTTTTCAGTGACCTATTATAAAACTTCGGCTCCCTCTTTTGCACTCCAAGGTGAGATTCCGTCAGGTCCAACAGCCTTTGTTATGTCTAGTTCCAGCAGATGCATCCTAACCTTACCTCTGACAATTTTACATTTTGTCAAAGCAGTTTGGTTTGCTTCTATCTCTCTCAGTTTAGCATATAGATTTAAAGAAGCTAAAGGAAATATGAAAAGTACATGGAAAGCCATCTCTAACTTCATAGAATCTAAACAACAATCACACAACAAGCAGATAAACATCTCCAAAGATGGTTACACACTTGCAACAAACCTAAAAATTGCAACCGAATTCATTAGCTTCTTTTCATCAATTGGTGTTAACCTTGCTACAAAAATCCCAGAGACCCAGACACATGTTACTACATATCTTTATTTATTTTATTTTATTTATATATTCAAGAAGGTACATTGGGATTGTGAGGATACATAGCATAGAAATTACAATCTTGTAAAGTCACTAGTACGAGCAGCGTTTCGGGCAGGTCCTTAATCTAAGAAAATTTTAAGTAGGTAAATATTTGCACAATTTATAAAAAATGATAACAGTTACAAAGTAAGAAAAAAAATAAAAGATGAGAGAAAATTGTAGGTATATTAAAGCACATAGGTTGCTCAGATTGATTGCAATGACAGCTTTGGATTTTTGATAGCATCTCACCGGCAGCTATCCTAACTCTCTACTCCTCTTACCAGTCAGCTCGATAGACATTATATCCATAATTCAATCGCTTAAAACAAAAATTGGGAACACTAATGAAATACCATCTATGATATATAAGAGTGCTGCCCCCAGCTCTTGCACTACCCATAGCTCTGCTGTTCAACAAATACCTCTTACTTAAAATAACTACCCCTTACTTAAACTTTACCACTATGGTATCCGAGGCTCTGAACTATATTCGTGTCTATCTCAGTGACAGACACCAATATGTAGCCATCAATAACACAACCTCCCCCACCCTACCATTAACCGTAGGAGTGCCACGAGTGCCACAGGGCAGTATCTTAGGACCTCTACTGTTTCTTATATACATCAATGATTTGCCAAACGTTTCTAACATTTTTAAACCTATACTATTTGCTGACGATACTACCTACATCTATTCCGACCCCAACCCACACACACTAAATAATATTGTCAGTAATAAATTAGAAAAATCCGCTCGTGAATGTCAACCAACAAACTTCACACTAAACATTGAAAAGACTTACTAAATTTTATTTGGTAGTATATCATCAAATCAAATTCAACCGTAGACAGATAATGTTAACATTAGCAATAAAAATTAGGGAGTTCCTCTGCCTATACTTAAACAAGAGCTGAACTTCAGCACCCACATACAACACACAACCAGAAAAGTCTAAAAAAAC